GCCATCTTCCAGCCATTACTATCTTGAACTGTTTCTAAAACCTCCCTTCCTCATGGTTTGACTTTAATAATTCCCAATCTGTATGTCTGAAATTAAACCCTCCCCCCCCCCCATAATTGTAGCCTCATTAGTAGCTAAATACCTTATCTCCCTTTAGAGTTTCTCATTAATTTCATCACTTTTATCTGTTGGTCTCTGACAAATTCCAACTAAAAGTTAGACTGAACCGTTGTTACTAGTGTCAGGGGTCAGTGTGTGGGCCATTGCTTTTTACTTACACCAGTGATGATGATGATAGTGGCATAACTGTTAAATTAGTAAAGTTTTTGGGTAAGTTTAAATTCTTGAACATTTCTAGTTGTACTGAAAATGTTGAGATACCACAGATTGAACTGGATCAGTTGGTTAGTTGGACAAACATTTGGCAAAAGACCTTTAATTGCAGTGTGTGTGTAAAGTAATGCATTTGGGTTATCATAATTTGGATCACACTTTTAATGTAGATAGGAAACGACTCAGTAGCATGACTGATGAGGAAGATCTTGACATAATAGTAGATAAGTCACTCAACTATTGAGGCAATTCTCTTTCGCTATTAGCATAGCTAATAGATTTTCCAGGTGTATTTATAGATTTACCGATTACAAGTCAAAAGAAGTAATTATCTTAATATAAATTACTGGTAAGGCCTCACTTGGAATGCTGTGAACATTTGGTCTCTTTATATGTATATATATATATATATATATATATATAGTATATAGGCTTATTTAGGTTCAGAAGGGGGCCATTAAGATGATTCCAGGTTAAAGTCTCTCAACTTAATTTAGTTTGAGAAAAGAAGTGTAAGAGGTGATCTATTGATGTTTACAAGTGTATGCAGAGTATCAATTGGATAAAGGCTTCGAATTTTTTTTTCACTCTATTCTGAAGACATTAAGAATGAAAGGAAACAAGTTTAAAATTTGGAAAATACAGGCTAACCTCCACAGTTAAACTAGTTTATTTCTTCTAATGTGGTGATTGGCTTACTTAATGAATTGCCATCAGCACTAGTGATGCTGGTACTTTACAAGAGTTTAAAAAAGGAGTCAATAATTTTCTGAAGAATAAAGGTTGGGGTTAAGTTTTTACTTTCTCTCAAGGGTGATTGTTTAGGGGCAATTTTGAAGGACCTAATGGTTCTTTGTTGTCTTTATGTTAAAGAGTTATTGTCCTGTTTAATTTTCTTTTTTTTTTTTGAAGGGTTCACTATCTCCAACCCTGTACATAACAAGAGTTTCTCTCTCCAAAAGATAACAGTGAATGTTAAGTTAGATATGTATAACATTTTTATTTACTTGTATTACAGTTGCAGCAATTTTTAAATTGGCTGTAAAATACTCTGATACAAATCACACTTTCACACTTATGTTGTTATTTTTGAGAAAAGTCACTTCATAGTAAAAAACCCAGCTCTGATCCATATGTAACAGTTTAGGCTTCTTGACAAATAAAATGTATTTTCTGAAAGTGGAGAAACTTCTAAGGAATAAAACTAGTGGTTTGCTTCGTAATCTAAATTTGCATAAAGCTGTTCTCAACATGTATTGCAATTTCATATACCAACAGTGTGTAAAACTGTAAAGAATAGCATGCAGAGATGATGCTTGTTGTTTGATGTACGTATTATTTTCTTTGAGTGTAGTATATCAATAATTTTAATGAAAAAAGGATGTCGTTATGCTGACTGGACTTGAACATTACAAGATTGCAGAATGAAACGTACTGGTTCAATGAAGGTGAAAGAAAAACGTTTTAATCACAATTAGAAGTTAGAGTTTTTTGCATTTGTTTAGCTAGTTGCATTTTTATGATATATATTAGTGAAGTAGTTACTTTTTTTTTCTTTATAATTGAAGTATTGTAGCTAGAGATTTAACAATTTAAAGTAAATCTTTCACTGATTTCAGTTTGAATCCACTTCTGATATAAAAGTTATTACACTTATGGTAATTATTTACATTCTTTAGAATTTAGGATTATTACCATTAAAAGGTTGTTTTTTTTTTCATTATCAAGTTTTCCTTTTTTTGTATCTGGTATAATACTGTACTTATCTTCATAAGTTCAATGAAAAATTGCATTGGAAGAATAGAAAATATTTTGATAAATGTAAGAATAAAAAACATTTTATTTGCTATTTTTTGTAGATATTGATTTAAATGATTCACAACTAGTAATAACAATCCTGAGTACTGCAAAGGTTATTTCAATGAAGATAAAGTGTAGAATGTTTTTGTATATATTCATTTTAGCAGACATTGGATCTTTTCTTTGGAATCAAGATTTAACCGTAACGAGCCTCTCTTGCTTTTTATAGATTTACTAGTATTTTAGTATGTATACATCTAAACTTGTATGGCTGGAACTACAATCACTTACGTAGACATCTTAGAAGCTTATCTTTGTTTTTCTTTCAAAATATTAAAAAAAAATTACTTAAGATAATTTATTGAAGTGTGAAAATTTTAAAATTGTGTTTGAGCAGGTTAACTAATTAGTATACTAAGACAAAGTATTCTAATGCAATTGCCTTTTTTTGTGTGTGTGTGAATTTATGTGTTTATAAATATAGAATTTGAAACTGCTTCTAATATAAATGTTATTGCACTTATAGTAATTATTTACATTTTTTAGAGTTTAGGATTGTTACCATTAAATGTTTTTTAACGTAGCAAGTTTTTTTATGGTTAAATATAGAATTAAAATTATCTATCTCATCCTGTGGTTAGCGTGCCAGACTGTGTATCTGAATTCCTGTGGTTTGCACTCTGTTATCATAAAAAAAAAAATCTCACTCTTCACTTTGGGGTCATGAATGTATTACAATAAGAGTGGTGATAGACAAATCCTACCATTTGGTCTGGCAAGAGTAGCCCAGAACTCTGAATTAAGCAGAACAGAAGCCTAAAATCAAATTGGACTAATCCTGTAAAATCCAAGTCAAACTGCATTACTTTTCATGATTTTGGGCTGTTGGTTTTCTGGGAAAAATTAAAAATACATGCAGGGAATGGAGTATTTTATATCTTGTAAAAAACATTTGTTTTAAAAAAATATCTTCCATATTACCATTTGATAGCTATGCAGTGTTCAGGTTAAGCTAGAAGAGAGAGAAATATCAGTTCTCTTTATTTTATACAGAAAAATTACTATTATAATTAATTATAGTTCATTCTCTGAGGTTGATTATTAACGTGTTTCAAATACACACAATATTGGAAGATTTAAAAGCTCAAGTTGAAAGAATGCTTTTATTTTGTTAACCAAATTGTTATGAGATAGAAGACATTAAAATTTTAATACAAAGGACTACAATCAAAATGAATGCTAGAGATAGATACCATGAATTAATATAAATGTAAAATATATTTAAATACTTTTATAACAAAAGTGCATTTTATGAACAAAATGAGAAAACAATTATTACTCATTCAGATCTTCTATGTTTCTGTCACTATTTATTTAGTTTTAACGAATCCTTTTTTGATTGAAATGTTATATTTATGCACTGTTTGAGTGGTGCAGATAAATATTTTTTTTTATCCACTAGTTGAATCTTTAATTGTGTAGTTTTGTTTTCCAGTAGGCTACTGAAAACTATAACTTCAGGTTTTTTTACATTTTAGAGATGATCAAAGAACAGTCTCTAACATGCTGCCATCAAACATGTATTCCCATTTCCTTGTAGCCTGGGCATATCTGCACATCTAATTCATCCCAATGCTTCTATATGTATATTCTACCCAGATTAATTTCTGTTGAAGGACCAGCACCAAAACCTCTTTCATGCTGTTCTTTTTAAAAACTCATGCAGAATGTTCAAGAACCTATATTTGCTCTCCAAAGAAACTTTTTCAGTCTAATAATTTAATTAAATCAATGAATAGAAAAATCTTAATCTTATGAGCTCATCAATTTTCAGCTTTACAGTTTAATAACTGGAAGTTCATTACTACAAACAATATACATTGAAGTACAAGAAAGTAATTTTTGTCATCTGTGGTTATTAACGTGTGTGTGTGTGTGTCTTGTAAGTAAAATACTCATCTTCTATGTGAGTGAATTTGTCATGGTGTCATAGATCAGATTCTTAATTCCATTTTTCACCTACCCTTCATCAGTTTGAAGGTTCACTTCTATTTGATTAGTTTTGTAAACCTTGATTGACAGATAACAAACTAAAATAACCACCATATTTCTATTACCATACCTGTATTTTAATATAACTGTAAATTGAAGTAGTTGATTTTTAGTTTCCCGTAATCAGAGCATCTGACTTACTCATTATTTTACATTCAATGAAACAATTATTTTATGATATTTTGTGAGTACTTATTAATATTTTTATGAAGCACATTGCTAAGAGAAAACTAGTGTTGTATATGATATATACATAAATGTGAGTGTGTGTATGTATATACTGTAAAACATGATTAAAACCTTTTTCTTTTCAATGATTAAATGCTTATATGATTATCTATACAGTCCTGTCAGTTACAACTGACCATGTTCACTTAATGGTCAGTTGTATAATCTGCACAAAAAGGCTACATGGTGTAATAAACATTTTATCTAGTTATCAACATTTCTAACAAGAACAGAATGCTATATTTTATTTTTTTGCCCTCTATTGAAATAACTTTGTTGACCTTTTAGTTAAAAAAATGAGTGATTAATAAAAAAAAAATCCTGTAAACATTTTTGTGAGACAATCTAAATGCTTCATAAGTATCAGGATGTAGGATTTGTTAGAAATAACATAAGCTTCAGATAAGCTTGTTCACTTTCTGATATTCTTAGTTTCAATAACAAAAAATACTGACTTACTCCTTGAAGGAAACTTGTAGTTTCTGTTTTTTTTTTATGTGACTGAAATGTTAAAACAGGAAAAGTCAATATTAAAAATTTTGTATTCCATAGATGATTTTATTTTAATATTAAACTTAACATTTATTAGTTGTTATTCTAAGGTAAAGATGACTATCTCCTATCAAGTGCCCCCCTCCATTTCTGGTTGAGGACTTATAAGGCTAAAATTGTGGTGTACTAAACTTGTACACATACACATCTATATATAATGAATTATCTCATATTGCCTCTATTAATTTTATCAATGTCAAATTCTTTACAACTGAAATTAAAGACTGTAACTGACAATGCTATATGATTATACAATGATTTAGAACATGGAGTTTGATAAGCAAAAAAATTAAATTTACATGTTTTTTATTTTGTGCAGGATTTTAATGATATGCATTTCTAAGTACATTTATTCCTACTTTATAATTAAAATGTGGATCTCCTGTCTTATTAAGTACTAGAGATGAAAAAGATTGTCAATTTTTTTTGTCTACAATTTGTGTAATAAAACAAGTTTATAAGACAGATTTTATATCATCTAAATTATATTGAACAGTTGATAAAAACTGTACTTATACACATATCAAACACATATTTACTTTAAAAATATATGTTTAGAATATATAAACCAAAATAAGAGTATTCATGAAAGTGAAAAGTAGCATTTTTGTTAAGAATGATAAAACTAAAGTGATTAAGTAATTTTGCATTAACATTATTTTTACAGTAGTTTCTGTTTTATGGATAGTGAAACAAAAAAAGAGAAAATTATCTGAGTGTCCTAAATGAATGAAATGTTAATTAATCTCTTTTGTGTAAGAAGTATGATTAAACAAGGATAGTTAAGATACCAGAAGCAGATTATTCACTTCTTACAGAAAATAACCTAATAGAATGTCAGTCAAAATTAAAAAAAACAAAGTAAGGAATAAAAGACATGCAGAAGCGAGTTATTCTCATAGTAGTAGTTGTGTAATAACTTTCTGGTAACGTTTTTTTTATATAATCATTTGTAATATTATTGTTTCTTAAAGAACAAAAAAGTAACAGAAACGTGAGGAAAAGTTCAAAGAGACTTTAAATATAAAAAAAAGTGACGAAACTCTCCTATGAAAGAAAATTAGTATGTTTACGTAAAATTGGTAGTTTTTGAATGTGTAAGTGTAAAGCCAGTTTCCTTTGAAATAAGAAACATTTATTCGCATTGAAGTTGCGAGTTATATCAACTTGTACTAGACCAGCTTTAGTATACACCTAACTTCGTTTGATTACAATAAATAAATAAATAAAGTTAAAATTAACGATGTTATGAGCAAAACGTAATATGGAGAAAATACTAAAACTCTTTTTGAAATTAGCTTGCTAAATATTAATTTATTATCACGAGGAGTGAGTTTTGATGAACATAGTGTCCCGCGTCAAAAACCTCTGAAACTACGCCCTTATCAATAAAAGCACGTGGCTATGTTTACATCTTGAGCCGGTTTTTATGCTTCCCGCAAAAATACGAACCAATGAAAAGGCGACAAAGTTCTTATCTTACTCTACGTCAAGAAATAGAAGTTCAATGCGCATGCGTTAGTATCAATGGCTGTCGTCAGCTGGGATATATTTTTATGGCGAGATTGTGCTACTTAGATATTTTATTACGACGAAAGAATAATACAATTAGAAAAGTAATTATAAAACACTTATTTGTACATTGAAATTTTATATGGAATACTTTATAGGCTTGCTTACTCTAACAATAACATTATTAACGGCGTGTACTTAATTTAAAAATGGTGAACTATGGTAGTGGTAGAACTAGAACATAAAAAAGGTAATATTTAATAACGTTTTACTCCACCTTCCAGACATATGAATGAAGAAAGAGTTTGAAATGTAGATATATATATGTATATATATCTTTCTAAACAGAAACAAAGTTTTGGTACCTACAAGGTACTAATTGCTGATTATACAGTGTCTAATTAAATTATTGAAATAGACATTCTTAGAATATAACGAAAAATATACTTGCGATATTTGTCAGTCACAAACTTTGTTATGTGAATATAATGTAATCATTGAATGCAAAGTTTTTCACTGTTATAGAATTTCCATCACAATACCATCACAAGGCTACTAGCTAGTTCACAGGAAATGAATATAATCAGAATCACTGAAAATTATGAATAAATGTTAATATCAATTTCTTACAAGTTGTGATAACTATACGACCTTAGTGCAAGTAACTTCATCATAGCGACACATTACCCATCATGCATGCGTAAATAACTTGGTGTCGCTATGTGTTTTGGCGCGATGCGGGTCAGTCAGCTGGAAAACGATAGGGTAAGAGGATGTCTTATTTCAGCAGTGTCTGTTAAAAATATGGGTGTTGGTCTGTGCTTTGTTTAAACATTGGTTATTTGTATTCTTTATCTGAGAAGGTCTATAGTGATATATCGGGATAGCCTAAACCGTTTTAGTTTGCAAATTATATGAATTTAGTATGAAAATATCAGAGTAAACTTATACTGTTATACTCTATAGTGCCTTAGTGGAGGCATACTGAACGCTGCTTTGCAATAGGTGAGAGGCCCTTTGGACTAGAGGTTGTTGCATAGCCCATCTGGCGTTTTCTTACTGGACAATTTGTGCATTCCATCGGAAGTTTGGCGCCTTTGTCTAGTAAGAGTAAAAGTATTGTTTTTGCATGATTAATTTATAGCTCGTAAGCTTTTGATTTCCAACATGACGTATATTTTAAGAGAAATAAAGAGCTTAAAACTTTAATAATCAGTGACTACACTCGTCGAAGACTTTGGTATGTCCCGCCAAAATTTACCGCCGAATACTGTTAAGTTTTGTTACGGATGAGTGTTAACTTGCGTAATTTGTATTTGTTACTCTTTTAATTTCATGTTAGGCCTAATATTTTTCTTTTGTTGATTTTTTATTATTTTACGTATAGGATTACATCTACAGTTTGCTGATCCAAATTAACAGAATGTCTAAACGAAGGTAAGTTACATGTTGTTTGTAACTAACAAATTTTATGAAGTATGATACGCCTTACTGATGTACTAATTTAATAACAATAATAAGTTAAGTTAACAATAAGTTTTTGCAGTATTGTGTGATTACTATTAGTTTATAATGTGTGGGGCTATTTAGAAAAATTATTTTCATTGTTTCTTCGCTTCAGTGTGAGGAATTCCAGGGGAAAATTAGAGATTCGATTACAGCCAACTATTCTACGCCGAAAACGGAAAGCAGTGAAAGAGTTTGAGGTAAGCTAACTCGTGAACCCCTTGAGGATTTATTTTGATTTAACGATACAATGTTAAGTTTTTTTCTCCAATACTGGGAGTTGTAGAGTAATTAAGATTCAGAATTTAATACTGATCTTTCATTTTATTAGGGCAGTGTGAGAGAGAATGAAGTGAGTAAAAGACGACAGGAATTAGAAAATCAGGTGAGACCTTCGCTAGGGGGTAGTTCCCGCCAATTAAAACTTAAGGCGCCAATGTATACGTGTGTAATGATTATAATAAATAAAAACAAGAAACGGGTTAAGATATACATGAAATTAAAATTTTTTTTGGTTATACCATATATTTTAGTCTTAAGATAGTTTTTAAAGTAAACTAATGAAATTTGGGAGCATAAATTTTGAAATGCTGGTCAAACTTGAAGATAGTATTAGTATTAATCGAAATGAAGAAGAGGTTGGAAAATATAATTATAGGCTAAAATCTGTACAAATTTCTTCAGAATAGGAACTAATGTTAGTTATTACTGTGTGATCAATATTAGGACTGTAAAGTTAATAATGTGAGTAACAAGTAAATGGAATAAACCTGCCTACAAGTCTTGGTAAGGGGATTGTCTATAACTTGTAAGTTTTTCAGAAGACAGTTATCTGATGTTAAAATTCATTATTTCAAACAATGCATTGTAAATTGTATTTATAATGATTTTCAGTTTGTAACATAAGTAATTTACTAATCTAGATGAAAAAATGTACTAATTTTAAATTGACATAATTCTTACCTAATCAGGATAGTGATATATAGTTAGTGAAGTTGCATAGTTTCACTCGGCAGTATTTTATTGAATAAATAAGTTTTATTTCTTTTAATTATAAGAAAATATTTTTTAAATAATTTTTTTAAAATATGACAATCTTACAATATTAATGTGGTCACCCAGGAGACTTCAAAACGTTTGTAATGAAGAGAAGGTTTAGTACAAGTTTGTGGTTGCTCAGCAGTACAGAGCATTTAGTTAACTACTAAAAATATAAAAGTGAACTAAAAATTTAAGTGTAATTTCATTTGATACTCTTGCAGGGATTTATTGTTACATATATTGAATTAGATAACTAAAATAATGTTGTTTATCCTGTTAAAATAATACTGCTTCAGCCAAGTTGATATAAAAAAATGAGTTTCTTTTCGTGTGATTATATATGTAGTTGGGATGCATGTTCAGTTAATGATTATGTACAAAATATATTTCCAATTTGTTGGATATTCAGACTTGTAAATACTTTCAGGTTTAGGTTTTTAACATCTCAGAACATCTTAGATAAAAGTATTTTTCTCCACTTTATATTACAGGCTAATATTTGTTTGGTTTAACAATTTGTAACATTTTTTTTTTACATAAAATACCTACATCATCTTTCTGGAGAGTTGTAAGGATAGTGGTCTATAATATGGGCATTTTGCCCTCTCTTCAAATTGTTTAATTACATATATTTTGTTCACTTTATCCCACAAATAGTTAACTATAAGAATGACCAGAAAATCACTTTTAACTTTGTCTTTAACTTAGTCATTAAAGATTTTGCACTTGAAATGGCATCTATATTCATTTGGTATGACTAAATGGTGTTTTCCTATTGTTGCTTCTGTGTGACACATTTGAGTCACTTAGCTAAACATTATTAATTCCATAGCTACAAAGGAGTCTCAGTTTCATTGAATAATGAAATTTCTAATAAGTAATCAATTTACTATTGGTTTTACTAAGCAAAATGCAATTTAATTGAAGATACATAGTGTGTGCATAAAATAATGTAGATTTTTCCCAGTGGTTATCTTTTACATTATGAAATAAAGGACTTAAACCTTTTTAAATATGAAGAAAGTTTAATTTTGACCTTTCATCATAAACAGTAGTTTTCATGACAAAATAACCAGTGCCATCTTTAAATAATTTAAAAAAATTTATCACGACTCATAATGATTAACATACTGAAGACTGAAATTATTTCATTTTAGTGATCACATTAAAAAAATTGCTTTGAAGTAGAAAAAATTACCTGGAATAGACAAAATTTTATCTAGAGAAAAGTAAGGATGTGGCAGTAGACAAGCTTGTATACATAAAAATACTCTAGATAGTTGTATTACAAGAGAAACAATGTAAGTAGTAAACATTTAATTTTGGCCAGCACTTGGCAGCATTTACTTCTTATGGACCCTTGGTTTTTTCAGACTCATCTGCTAACACACTAATTTCAGAACTGAATTTTCATCTTGGCGTGAAATTTATTTTTGTTTTTCAAGTGTGTTTTATGATTATGCTATCAGATAATCATGTTTCGTTGTCTTTAATGTAGTTAAATTTATGTATCAGTTTTTATAGTTGATAAGTGCATGTTTTGCAAGAAAATTCATATTGATAGAATGATTTAAGTACAATAAATGATTGTGTGAATAAATGGGATTGCTCTTATGTTTTTGTTAATTAAGAAGGTGTAGTGTTCTACATGTTTTATTCTCCTTTTCTAATATAAAATTGTTCAAAATTTCTACATATTGTATATGTACTTTTAGTATAGAAACTTGGTCAAGGGAGTCACCAAGTTCCTTTCACCTTATATACCTGCTGAACTAGGTCATTCAACTGGGGTTGTCATGTATACTTTCTTGTGGAAAAAATTCTTGTAAATTGGAACATACTTTATAGAAAATGAGTGCTCTTTTCTACTGGCAGATTAGATGATTTCTCAGCATCCCTTATTTTGTAGTAAGAGTGACCATCAGTCCCATGGGTATCACCTGCCTCTTAAGAACAGCATTGTTGATTTTTTTGCATGCATTTCCAGATTTTCTCAATCTAGGACTGGAAGATTTAACAGATTGAATGATTTGATGTGATCTCAGAACTCTCCAGTAAATATACCTAAAAGTCACTTGTTTTTAAACTTTGATTCTTGTTTTTTAAATACAGATTATTTCATAGTGTTTAACTTTTGTCTGGTCTTTATTTTCTTGAAACTTAGTTCAAGGTCAGAGAATTCACTTTCTCTCCATGATACATTTTTGTCAACCTCTTATTCTGCAGCTCCTACCCAATTACTTTTAAAGTGAATTCAGTACATTTGAGAATGTGACAAAATGAGTTAGGAGTAATATTTGACTGGTGATAGATTTAGATAGGAAACTTATTTTGTTTAAAAATAACATGTCAAAAACTAAATGAATAAAACAATTAAACTCCTAATCTACCATTAATTTTTTTTATTAGGGAAAAAATATTCAATATCTAATACTGTTGAAGAAAAAATTGTTTATTAAATCTTTGGAAACATCTAAATGTATTAAGTATATCTAGCTATAATGAGAATAATCATAAACTTTGAAGATTTAATGAATTTTTTTTTAATATATCTGACATTTGGAAAGATACTAACAATTGGAGACTTACGAAAGTTGTCCCATATTCTACAAAAGAATGATATAGCCCTTTAAAGTTATGTTAATTTGATTTTTGTTTTAGCAGGTTGGAGTTTCCAGTCACAAATTACCCTGAAATTTACATTTTCTAAAACAGTTATGTACAAGGATTAGAAGGTTTTTTTTTATGGGGTTACAGGCATTTTAGGTGATGTCATTGATATCTAAAATACTGAGATTTAATTAGAAAGCTAGATGTTTGTGGAATTCTTTGGAAGAGGTAAAAAAGTGGATAGGAAATGCCTTTTTTTATGGAAAGTAGAGAGGTTATTAAAAAGTGGGTGTTATTCAAATTGGTTTAAAGTTCTCACTGGTTTCTTTTATAGCTCTGTTTGGTTATTATGTTGTCAGTACTTTGGATAACTACACTAGTGGTATGTTTTATTTATGCTGATAATAATGAGCTTCTGTATAAGGCTACTGTAGATATTGCTTGTTAAATGTAAATGAACCTAAATAGTTTTAGTGAATTGGTAAGAAGTTATGTTAATGTTGATAATTTAATGGAACTTCATTGTTCTGGAGACGAGGAAAGGTTTAGATATGACCAGTGATAACAGCTTCATATCTTTTTTTTTGTGTTTAGTTGTCATATAAAAGTTCTGGAATCAAATTACTAAAAATAAATGACAGTACTAAAGTTGTCTCCTTGAATTAGATTAGTAAAACCTCTTAACTGTTATTCTCCCTTTCTATAGGAAAGATATTGATATGCTAGAAAAAACCCCAGAAAAGACTAGAATAATAATAAGGATAATACTTGAAGCCTGAAAATAAACTTAAGACAAATTTATTGTCACTGGAATGAAAAAGAACTAGAAGTAATTTGATTAGTGTTACTGAAATGGTAGATAAACTATCAATAGGACATTTTTTTAGTAGTGGAAATATATATACTTTAGCATAAGCTTTGCAAACTCTAAGCTAGTTATTTTTTAAGCAAGCCCATTTTTCATAAAGTAATAAAGTTGTGGAATGGTTTACCTGAGGACTTGGCATTTGAATTCCAACTTTTTATGGATAGGTATGTGGATAAAAAAGAAAGGTTTAATTTAACTGAAGTTGGTTATCATGGGTGTCTGTTTGAAGAAAGTGACTTCATCAAGCTTGAATGACTTTTGTATCTAAAATGTTTTTATATTTTTATTTCTTAGGCTTGCTGGGATCCAGGTAGCCAAGAAAGTAACAGTCAAGATGAAAGCTGTTGTTCCATTGCTTCTACAACTATGAGTGCCAGCACAAGCAGTAGTTCCGAACAAATGCCTGATGGTCAGAGAACCCCTTCTGACATGCTTCCTTCCCTCACCCTTAGTCAGTTTCGTGGACTAACGTGTATACTCACCCCAGAAGCACACAGTAAACGAGACTCTCCTTTACCCCATTTCTCCTGGGCAGACCCTCAAGAAGTCTGGGAACTCATGGTTCAGAAGGACTCAGTTTACCCTCGAGATCCCAAGCTGCTTTGTCGGCACCCTGGTCTCCAAGCTCGAATGAGGGCAATTTTATTAGATTGGTTAATAGAAGTGAGTTTTTGTATCTATGAAAGAGGAATTTTCATTATGATTTTGTTTTTCCAATTTTTGCATCAATATTGTTTAATTAGGGTTTTCATTTGAATGTTAGTTGCAAGATATTTGTAAAAGGAAAATGACAATTTCATAACATAACATTTTGGGACAACATGGGACCTGCTGGTCCATCTTGGCTGTACCATCCTCTAAACTAAATTCAAGTATATAAATAAATAATAAAATTTAAAGCCAGCTCTTATCATTCAAATACTTATCAAGCTTTTTCTTAAACTCACTTAAATTGACTGCCCCTATAACATCTGAAGGCAAGCCATTCCAAAGGCCAACCATCCTATTAGTAACATAAAACTGTCTTAGCTGAAGATGACTCTGCCAAAATGTATACTTGTGTCTCCTAGTCTAACTATTCTGTTGTTAGAAATGAAAAAAGATGATCCATTTACACTATCAATTCACTTTACAATTTTAAACACCACTCATATTCCATCTAACTCTTTTTTTCAAGAGAAAACAATTTGAGAGATTTCAGCTTCTCCTCTTATGACAGCCATCCATACCAAGCACCATTCTAGTGATCTGTACAATGAAATTATGACCTCTTTAGTCTTGTATTCAATATTTCTGTAGATACAACCTAAAATCCTATTTGCCCTACCACTAGCAACAGCGTATTGTTTGGATGGCTTTAGAGACTGCTTGATTACCTTTCCTTCATAACACCTTAAGGTTACTCCCATCCAAACTATACTTATAATTCAAATTGTGATAGCCCACATGCATTATATTGCATTTATTATAATTAAAACCCATCTGCTATTTATTTGCCCAACTCACTAAATTATCTAAATACTTTTGT